TGGTGTATGATGAGTGGTGTATGATGAGTGGTGTATGATGAGTGGTGGTTGAACAGCTGTTGAATGTCCGTAACACGGAAGTTTTGCACACTAAACTTCCTTGGACCAAATCACAGACTCGCGTTGGATTCCAAACAAACTACGTCTAGTCTATTCATGACATTAAGTTGTAGACCCCGCCAAGGCAAATGTTCGTCCAGAGGCAACCTGTCCGTTGAAGTGTTTGGCATTGTTTGGCTTTGACCATTCACGAGAATTGCCAATGCAAATGCTGTAGCAAAGCCTCAAAACCACAACGGCCAGGCACAACTTGCATGGGCCTCAGGCAGATAAAGCTCACGACAGGCAAAAACCGGAACACTTAGCCCCAATATGCAAAGCTTGGGCCAAAACGATTAAGAGACATGCGCAAGATCCCTATCGGAAAACTGTAATGCTCCGCTCCCCCTCACACAAAAAGGAAGGCCCGTCCACTTCAAGGGGTGTGAGGCTGTGTGAGGCGCTCTGGCACCTGCTGTGCAGCGTGAGTTTTTTGGAAGCCCTTCTTTGTACCCTAGGTGCATGGGCTGCCTTAAAGAACGTCTCCTTCAGGCGGGGAAGAGCCACCCTTCAGGGAAATGGATGTGGGTGACGCCCACGCTGCAAGGGGTGGTGCATGCATCAAAGGAAACAGAGATAGTTTGGTCAAGCGAGCCTGAGTGAAAGAACATGTATAAAAAGAAGGTAAGTCATTGGAAAATTTCCCCGGTTTAGATCTGCAGGGTATTAGATCCGCAGGGTTTTTGGATAATAAAAAAAATTCAAAAAAGATACTTAAAAATACTATTAAGCATAAAAAAATCAGAAAAATACTTTAAGTGATCAAAAAATACTAAAATACATACAATGTGCAAAAGCAAATGAAACAAACATCTGGCAAATGTGTTGCCATGCACAAATATGAACTGAAAGCTGGTTGCAAATGCATTCCAATTGTCGAGAATGTTCTTCAAGTGGCTTCTGAAGCTGTTCATTGAATTTGAAGAACACAAGATTCAAATGGTAAAAAATATGTTTCATTCAAATCTCAAACCTCATTTGAATCTCAAACCAAACAGTCATGTGTCGTCAGGTGTTGTCAGGACCGTCATGTGTCACCAAATCGCTTGGATTGAACTGCTTGTTCCCAACTACACAATCTCGAATGCTTTTCCTGTTGGAGTGAGATTTGACTAACTAACTACAACAACTCAGTCCAACAGAAAAAGTATTTATCTGATTTTGAACCAGTGGTGTGACTGAACTCCTATCCTACCAGCAGCAACCATGAATTCCATAAGATCATCATCTCAGGATGCCCTGGTAAACAAGAACATGAAAACTACTTGTACCAGCTTGATCTCGTGGCCTAGGTTTAGAGACCAACAGTTTTGGAAAGGTAGCGTTTTTCAAATCAACAATGTGACTACCTGGTTACCTGGTTGATATATCAGCCCGGTGATATTGGCATACGGATTAGATTGATTCAACTACCAATATGTTCAACAAGTACAAGTTCACCGAATTTATTAATAAGTAATATATCCACTATACACCCCCGTGTGAGGTCCATACTTGCCACCTCTTCCCCCCTGGCTTTGGCTGTGCTTTGTCTTCGAGAAATGCCCAGTCCTCAGTTCTTCAGTGACTGACAATGACAGTGGTATGGCAGACTGGGTAGGCAAGCAGGCTGTGAGGTATTTGGCGGTATTTGGTGTTTGACATGCCTTTCATTTTCCATGTGGCATGTGGTTGTCTTGCCGCCTTAGGATTTGTCACTTTGCCCGGTTACTCAGACCACTTGCGTTTGAAGTTGCAGGTCAGTGATTTATATCTTTTTTTCATTGGTAGTGTAGGATAATGGATCTTTGGTGTTCGAAAAGAACCTGCAAATTTAAACATGGAACTGATGAGCAGGCATGTGTGGTATTAAAACATATATCATGACATAAACAAGTCATTAGTCTGTCAGTTGATTTGTCATTTGTCTTGTCAGTTGGCTGGATTGGTCAATCGCCTCGTCATTTGTCTTGCCAGTTGGCTGGATAGGTCATTGAGTCACTTGTCTTCAGGCACCATTGCTGTGTTGTCAGTGTGTGCGTTGTCAGCTGTAGCTAGTCTTGAAACTGTTAGTTAGGATGCAACCTCATTGATGTTAGAATGACTGCTTATTATTACGCCAATGATGGGTTTATTCATAGGTTTGGGCTGTTTTGATCACTCCCCTTAGTAGGTTGTAGTAGATTCAGGTCGATGAGTCAAGTAGTGGTTTTGTTGTTGCCATGTATGTCTGCCTGATGGGGTCCTGGGTCTTGCTTCAGGTTCGTTCCCTCTTTCCGCCCAGGCTTCTGCTACCAACAGCCTTGCCTCAACTGACCAAGGACCGCTCCGTCTAACTGGGAATTGGGACCTGGGAAACTTGATGGGAAATGGGGTGACCAAATCTAGAAAACTCTTCTGATCTAATCCCTGCAGATCAAAACGGAAAAATTCAAGTTTCAAAGGTTGATGATGTGCTTTTTGAGGTTATTACTGGTTGGTTGGCAATACCATCGGTGACAGGCCCCATGTTGCTCACCAATTGCTGCTTAGATCTGCAAGGGTTTGATCAGTCAGTGGTTTTGGGCTTGGATAGAACGGGCGATGAAAAATCCTGCGAGGGTGTTGGGTGCGGACTTGTGTGAACTGGAGGCTCCTCATATAAAAAACTTGTTATGGACTTCAAGGACTCACCGACCTTCGGTTGACAATTTCAATGACTGCATCCAACTCTCCAAGTGGTCAACCCAACCTTGAGCATGTGATCCCACTCCACTGCTTTCCAATGATTTCTCAAAAGCTGGCGGGTGGGTGGCAATGGCTTCTGGGCCTTCTGCTGCTTGCGATCTGCTGGGGGCCGATTTTCAGGGTGTGGACAGGAAGCTGGACAGGCTACTTGGCTAACAGTGGGCTGCTAAATCCTCAGAATCAGAAGTTCAGAACTACGACATAATCAGAAGGTACAATGAATGAATAATATTGATGTGATTGAGAAAGTGAGAGAGTGAGAGCTTGCTGTTCATCCTAGGTCTGCGCAGCAGGTGCTTGGGCACTATACTTTATCAATTTTGGTGTTGTTTTAGTTCTTGGTGGTGTTGTCGTTCTGGTCAGGTTTCTTAGTGCATGTGTGTAACTGGGTAACGCCTGCCCTTTTGTTGTTTGCACCTGTAGCTAGACTCATTGAAGCTGCAACCTGTCAGTCAGTCAGTTTGTCACTGTCAAATTCCTCACTGAGGCACTTTACTTGCTTCACACCCTGGACGAGGAGGCTGCAAAGGACCTTTGGACGCTGGTCTAAATTTTAGATCGTTTATTATGGCAAACTTCATTGACTAAACAATGACAATGATGCATGCTATAAATTAAGGTTGAGGATTGTGTCACTGCGGCTGGTGGTTGCACAGTGGCTTCAAAGGCTCTTCCATTCATCGTTAATTGCCATTGTTTTAGTTGAAGCTTGAGTACCAAGGACCTATAGCGAAAGCAAGCCTCCGACCTTCTTCACGAATCGGTCGGGGTGGATCTTGAAGTCTGTGCGGAACGAGGTGCAGACGTTTCTTGGCCAATTGACAGTCAATTTGTTCAGACTCGAGGAGTGCAGAGTTTCTTCATAGATTAGTTTACTGTTAACCCCCTTTTGTGCTGTTGGCCATGTTTGTACTTGCTTGTTGACTCAAATTTCATTGAAGTTTGACATGCCATTGTGGGATTCTCGCAGTTGTGCGGCATGAGGCTGAACGTGAGCCTGGGCTTCACAGAGGACCTCACCTATTCTGGCCGCCATGGGAGACCGAAGGCTGAGGCACCAGCTGCTGGCAAAGCATGTGGTTCCTTCACTGCAAAGCGTGAATCATTTGTAGACAAGGCGCCAGTCACTGTTTGTCAAACATAATCACTCAAACGACTCTTCGCTAGTATAATATGTCAGTCAACCAAATCTTGGAAAACAATTGAATGAATGAATGGTTGAAATTCACCTCAATAAAATCAGAAGAATTGCACATGTGTAAACTTTTGGGGCCTGGTAGTAGAGACAGGGCAGCTGAAGAGTTACAGGTGGTGCCTATTGATATACTGACACGCGTTGGGGGACTAGTGGTGGCGCAGTGAGGTGAGCTAGAGGTACCTGGAGGTGATTATATGTAGTTTAACTGTAAAGTCATTGAAAACGTTTGAAGACTACCTGCTTTCTTCATCCAAGGCAAGGGAGGGTGAAGCATTGCTGGTACCGCCAAAGTACAAGAAGTGGCCAGCCAGGGTGGTGATCGTGGGGCAAAAGGATGTAGAGGCCAACTGGAGCATCTTCAAATCCTTTCGGGTCATTCACCACGACCTTTTCGAGCTGCTCCACAGCGCGTGGCATGGCTGCAATTCAGTTTTGGGATTGAAAAGCTTTAGTGCAATGTTCATGTCATCATGACTAGTCAACTGTAGTCGCCTAATGTTCCATTGCCTGCAAATGTACCTGCAAAGTGATTTGTCATTTGTCTCTATTGTTGATTTGTCTTTGACAGATTGACATTTCAAACTTGGCATCAATCACATTTTAGGCATGTGGTTCAAGTTCAACAACTGAGGAGGCTGAACAAGATGGGGAAGGCGAAGGGCCGCGGGAAAGGCAAGCAAAAAGGAGGCAGGGATTCTGGCCTGGAAAGCAAGGTGCAAGCGGAGGTGTCTTGGGCTGCAAGAAATGGCTTTGTGTTTTGAAGAGTTGGTAGGGCTGCAGGAAATGGCTTTGTGCGTGAAGAGTTGGTACCAACAATTGTGCATCAAACAAATAACGCTGCTATTTGTATGATCGATAATTTAAGGGAATAAACCCAAACATGTGTGTTTAAAACTGATCATCCGAAACCGAAAGAAAGCACCACCAAATACCGCGACGCCATCCTCATCCGAGAGGTCTTCGGATGAGGATGTGGAATACCAATCTGCTAAAGCAACCCGACCAAAATTATCTGAACTTCATTTGTTGAAAGAATTCACCACCCCAAGGTCTTTAGCCATCCGGACTTTGGAGATGTGCTGCGGACAATCCTGGACTCTCCATGTGAAGTGGTCAGGTCACTTGCCTGCCAATAATGGTAGTCTTGGATCATTTTAATCTTGGAGTGTTAAGTAAAGTTGCTATCAGTGAGCTACCTTGCTCTGTCTTTGTTCACTCTCAGTAGGTGTTGGTCCTGTGAACCCTCTCTCAATGTCTCAGGCTGAGCTGCTTAGCTGGATACCACCGAACCTGCTCGATGGCAGCTCTTATCTTGGC